CAAAAAGACATAATCTTTTTAGATATAAGACATTTCTGGTTTATACATGCTTATAAGATATATAATTATCCAAAGTTTCTTTAGCATCAAGGTACTCCCAATAGCTGATATTAGATCTTAGAAACCCCTCACTGAACAAAAGCTTAGTGACATCTCTGCTAAGATATTGATGAAAAATCATTAATTCAATAAATTCTCAGAGGCTCATTAGTATACCAGATCTGAGGCATATAAAGATGACTGATGATGATTGCTGCCTTGCAGGGAGTTTACCACCCAGTGAAAGTGATAAGATACATCTACACATAGCTAAATCACAAGATAAAATGAGAGAGTAAATAATTACGAAGTATTATGCAAAGTTAAAGGGCAATAGATCACCAGAAATTTACAACCTAGTAAAGGTTATAAGTCTTTACAGCTTTAAATCAAGGTAAAATGTGAACATAACATTGTGATTTAAGAGCATTATTAATGTCAAATCACTTCAGGCTGGAAGGAGAGAGGAGTCCTCATGGTGAACAGAGCACGTTATTGGAGCACTGGGGCATGGATAGAAGTGCTACAAGACACACTAACAAATGCCACTAAAACCCTCTGAGAATCAGGACAGCATAGGATCTACAAGCACTGATTATTCAGAATGGCCAGATGACTGGGATTGAGCATAGGTGATGCCAATGTGTAGCAGGGGTCCTCAAACTTTTTAAACAGGGGGCCAGTTCCCTGTCCCTCAGACCGTTGGAGGGCCGTTGGAGAGCGCGGCGCACATTCCACACATGCGCACTGTGGGCCCGGGACCAGTCCAGGTGCTAAGCAGGACAGGCAGCAGCGGTAAAAACACTCGGCTGGGCTGGATAAATGTCCTCAGCAGGCTGCATGTGGCCCGCGGGCCATAGTTTGAGGATGCCTGTATGGTACAAGATGGGCATGAGAAAGGGTCTGAGCAAAGGCTCAGGGGAGAAAGGGTATGGCAAACTCAGGAGAGTGAGCAGTTCTGTCCGACTAGAAAACAAGGGAGGGAATTGGGCATGCCTATAAAGATAACCCTGCATATCTCAAGCTACTGAGTTTAGATATTATCCAGGACACAGAGGAGAATCTCCCTCCCTATCCCCAGTCACTGCACACACACACACACATACACACACACTCACTCACACACTCTCACTCTCTCTCTCTCTCTCCAGACTCTATGGCCCTAACCTTTTACACCCCCAAAAGATCTTCAGAATATTTCTAATACTTCCATTCTGGTTTAACTGTCCATCCCCTATGTCTTCCTTTGTCACAGAACCTACCACATTGAACTAGAATTTTCTTTTTACATCTTATGATCTATCCTATTGAATGGTACCAGGAAGCTCACATTTATCAAGCTTACTGCTGGACAATCAGTCATATTTGCCCATGGTTCCAAAGGACAGAATCAATAGATACTTTGTAAGGCTTTGCTACGTAGGTAGAAATGATAATTTTAATTTTCTTCATTTTGTTCTCCCTATACAATAACATATATTTAATTATCATATATTGTTTTCACGATAAGAAAAAATATTTAGGGCTTCTTGATCAAAACAAAAGCTGATAAATGGAGGGAGGCTGCTTTCAGAGTCAAAACGAAGACAAATATATTTGAAAGATGGTAACAGCCTTGAGGACAGTGTACTACATGATTACCTCATAGGAGGTATCTAAAAATAATCAAAATCATTCAGTCAGACTAGAATGGTGGTTTCCAGGGACTAAGGGAAGTGGCAAATGGGGAGTTACTAATCAATGGGTACAAAGTTTCAGTTAAGCAAAATGACTAAGTTTTAGAGATCTGATGGACATCACACCTATAGTCAACAATAATGTCCTGTACACTTAAAAATTTATTAAGAGATTCTATCTCAGGTGAAGTGTTCTTACCACAAAAAAATGTTTAACAATAAAGATGGTGTGGATCTAGTACAGAACTGGATCTAAGGCCATGGCTAATTTTTTTACTAATAAAATTAATAAGACTTTTCTGTTACAAATTTTTATGACTGGCCGGGCGCTGTGGCTCACGCCTGTAATCCTAGCTCTTGGGAGGCCGAGGCGGGCGGATTGCTCAAGGTCAGGAGTTCAAAACCAGCCTGAGCAAGAGCGAGACCCCGTCTCTACTATAAATAGAAAGAAATTAATTGGCCAACTGATATATATATAAAAAAAATTAGCCGGGCATGGTGGTGCATGCCTGTAGTCCCAGCTACTCGGCAGGCTGAGGCAGGAGGATCACTTGAGCCCAGGAGTTTGAGGTTGCTGTGAGCTAGGCTGACGCCACGGCACTCACTCTAGCCTGGACAACAAAAAAAAAAAAAAAAAAAAAAAAAAAAATTTATGACTAAAAATAAGATAGTTCATAAATCAAGATATACAAATGGTCAATAGATGCATGGAAAGATGCTCAACCTCTTTAGTCATTAGGAAGATGCAAACTAAAATCACAAAATTCCATTCACAAACACTAAATGGCTAAAGTCAAGAAGATAAAAGAAAATGTTGGTGAGAATATGGAGCAATGGGGACATTTCTGTCAGGAATGTAAAAATGGTACAAACCACTTTGGAAAGATGATATGTCAATTTTCAGAAAGTTAAACATATATTTACCATATGGCCCAGAAACTTCATTTTTAGGTACCTACCAAAGATAAATGAAAACAAATACCCTTTCCCTTCAGGTCCACGAAGTAGTAGGGGCAGCCAGCGGCAGGGGCCCTCTTGGGGCGCTGGATCCAAGGGGGACAGATCTAGCCCTGAATGCACAGCAGTGTCCAGGGACAGGGTAGCAAGGGGCCTGGTGACTCGCACCTCCAATCATTGATTTTTCCCTCCACTCCCCCCTCTGTAAACCTCGTTCCTCTGCTGCTATCTGCATCAGTCTCCCTTCCTTCCATTCCAATTGTATATTTCATCTTGTCTTCAACTGGAGATGCTTCTCTAAAAATGCATGTTTTATTGCAAAATTATAAGGCATTGCATTGTAAATATGGATGCTACATAGACAAATACAAACAAGGCAAGCAGCGGTCCACAAACTACATATTGCCTTTTTAAAACTCAAGAATATTTTTTCCTTTTTCATTGTGAAGACTTTCTGTTGGAAATACAATTAATAGGAATTATGTGTAGTCACCTGAATCCAATTAATAGAACTCGTAACGGTTTGGATTTAATGAGATTCATTCAAGGATTTAATTCCCACATGAGGCAGTTAGTTTCACTCATCTCCTGATTAGAGCTCTACCCTCACACCCAGGCCAGCCATGGCCCTGGGCATCAAAGTAGAAACCATTGCAAACACATTATTACAACTAGAAAAAAAATCAATGGAAAGTATGTTTTTTTATTGAACATCTTCATATATGGACAAACAGTTGTTAGATAAATTAAATCTTCTAGGAAAACTTCTATAACATTACTTATAAATGTGTCTAGAAACATTAGACATGATTATTTTGAAATTTGGGCAAAAGCAATGGTACTCATTCCCTAAACCCGGTAATCTATTTTGATTTCAAATGTGAATAAACGTATTCTGTTACCTTTCTTACTGCTGTCCAGCCCAATCCAATAAACATAATCGCTGGAGACATCTACATTTGTTTTAATAAGCATTTTAGATGGTTCTTATGATCCAGCACTGTGTTAGTATCCTTTCCCAGTTCTGGTTATACCTGTGTTCATGAGCTACACTGGCCGTTAGAGAAACAGTACTCAGCACTAGATTGTTTTTCAGCAAGCAGGCTCACGGGTATGGAACAAACAATATCCAATTCATAATCTCGGCCTCATGGGCAGTATGCGCTTATCTCAACTAACTGGCCCAAGCACTCTTTACAAGACATAAGTGAATATTTTTCTAGACAATTTCCATGCCAGGTCTTAGACAATACTGTCAGCGGAAGCTGTAAAGTTACAAAACAAAGGAGCGAAAAGTGATTAGAATTTAAATTGTCACCTGGCCTGTCACTATTGCTATATTTTTTGATAATGCATGCCCAGACATTAGCATTAGCATGTCCAATCTCCAGGGAAACATGTTTTCCTCCTAAAGGAATCAGCTGCTTTCAAAAAGCAGCTCCAATATCAGAAATCTGAAGTTAAACATTTTGGTGCCATAAAGAAAAATATAGCATTTCAAAACACATATCGTTAATTCAAACCTAGGGTACGGCGTTACATTGTAATATTTTTGTTTTATTTTTTTGCAGCAAAGAGGTGATTTTTGAAACTATAAACATTTCATATATTTAATAACACATATGATAGAGACAGAACTACATTTCACAGCTAGTCTACTTATATCTACACTATAAATTCTTGTGTTTGCCAAGAAGTTGAATTACAAACATATTCACAATGAGCTAGATTTAAAATCTGTTCCCATCAAACATATTCTTTTATCTCAAAATAGTTCACCATGCAAAAACCAGAAAAACCAGACAGCACAGATAGTAAATCATTAAGAAATAAATTACTGATCTCCTAAAATATATATGTATGCATAACTCAGGTAATTAAGTTAGAGTACATTACACTGGGCTTTACTCAACACTAGTGTAAAATCTCACCTCTTCTACAACAGAATGTACATTTCTTTTATATGAGACCAGTTTTTATTCATACAAAGTGTTTGAATAACAATTCAAATTGCCATTTGAAGTTTTATTTTAGCCAATTTTCAAAGTCCTCACAAGTATGGGCATTTGATAATGTGACTTAATGATGCTTTGAAGTCATAGAATGAGGATTTTTAAGACAAGAATAGATGGGCCTCATTCCCCTCAGAGATACCATTCAAAGCCAGAAATAATACAACATGGTTAGCCAGCTCACTCTCCCTCACTGAGGTGGTTTTCTGTAAAAGAGTCTGAAGGAAAATTAACAGTGTCCATTTACTAAGAAGAGAATAGAGCAAAAGAGCAGACAATAATGGCTCTATGTACAATGGCAGAAAAGAAAGCATACCTTTCTCTTTCTCCTTCGGTGATATCATATAAGCGGTTGGCACCTCCATCAGCACAGGCTCTTAAAAGAGCTTCAAATAGAAGAACAAAAATCATTTCAATACAGGAAGCACACAGCAATATCATTCAAAAGATGAGCGTGGGAAGCAGGCACTCAGACACACAGTCACGCTCACCTTGAGTCACTTCACATTCAGCTGTTGACACTGCTGGTGCTAAAAATGATTCTACGTAACACAAGACAAGCAAGACAGAATCCTCTAGAGATCAAGTTTATTTCCTTTTGGCGCCTTCCCTCTGATTAAATAAAGGAGAAGATTGTATATGGTGGTAGCATGCCTTTGCTAACTTCTTAAAACTTGTTTTCCCTCCTTTACAGGAGACGGTAGGCCACAGGCTCAAGGACAGTCGACGAGATACAGTCACCAGTGTGTTCTCTCCTTTTATTAATTTTTATAGGTACTTTCTACTTATGGAAGGTATTGTGGGTTTCTATCGTTGCTTTAAAAGTTTCCTTTTAAAAATAAGTCACAGGCATAATCTTATTTTAAAATATACATAAATAATCATCTAGATGATACGTGAACACTGTAAAGTTGGCAAGATGGCACAAAACTGACGAAACTTGGAAATGCTAGGGTAATCGAACAAATCCTGCTGCCTCTCCGACTTGGGCTTGTATCTCTTCCTTTCCCATGCTTTCGCCCTGCTGCTGGCTCTAGGATTTGACGCTGCTGATCAGCCACTCCTCCAAAGTTTTCTCAGTGCATAGAATACTATTTTCTCAGCATCTCTGATTTCTATTTTTCATAGAAATGTTCGGTCTCTCAGCATCAGCTCAGAAAGAACATCATGAAGCATCAAACCAGCAGGTCCTTGGCTAAAGTCCCAAGATGATGTGACAGGGTCCCCACTTTAAGCATCCTCTTCTAATCAGTACAAAAAGGCTAAGGGCCTTTTTTTAATTAAAGTCTCCTCCAATAACTGACTGATAAAAGTGACAAACTACCTTTCCCTGAAATTAATGACATGGGTAAGTGTAATTGGGGGGAAGAAAATAAACAGACACTTTCCCTTATGTATATATGTATTCTTCAGGTATCTGAAACATAAAATAGTTTAGATGAGTATACCATCTAAAAACAGGTCAGTGATACATGAATTGTTTTAGAAAGTATAAAATTACAGATGCTAGTAAATTACAACTTAACAAAAATAAAAATCCACAATTTCTACTGTGGAAATTTTCCCTTACCCCACCAGGACTGAGGTGTCTTATGAAAGTATTTGAAATTGGGTGGAATGGTCCCAAATTCCATCAGGGGACCTAACTGTCTCATGACACTTCACACCTGTATTCCCAACCCAGCTTTAAAGCACATTTAGTGAGATTCTTGGTGGTAAACACACTCCCTTTTAGTTTAGCTATGAATATACTTATTTCAGCCTCACTCTTGAATAACAGATTAGCTGAGTATAATATTATAAATTGACAACAGCTGGTAGTGACTTTGATGACACAGGTACACTGGTTTCTGATTTCACTGACACTTTTATAGAAGGCTGCTGACAGTCTAGTTGTTCTTATGTATCTAATTTGTCTTCTCTTTTTGGCTAATTTTAAGACCTTCCCTTTATCTTTGGTGTTTTAAATGTCACTACCATGTAAGGTTATTTGGAATTAATTACACTTCCTAAATCTGAGGATCATGTCTTTCTTCAGTTCTGGATAACTCTTACACATTTTTAATTCAATTATTTCCTATCTTCCATTCTCACTATACACCAAAATTTTCTGGCACCCCATTTAAACGTATTTTTAGACAGTCGCATTCTACTTTTCACATTTCTTAAACTGATTCACATTTATTTCACCTCTTCTTCCCGTATAAGGGTGTAATTCTTTAAATCATTCTTTCAATTTATAGTCTTTCTTCAATTATGTCTCATCATCTGTTTAAAACATTAAAGTGTATAGTCTTATTGATTCCTAAAGAAGTTCTATTTGGTTCTTTATTCAGTCGAAAGGTCTTTTCTGATAGTCTGTTGTTCATGTTTTCAATTCTGTCTTTTATTTTTTTTAGATATCCTTTCCCTATGGATGGGATATTGCAAAGGATATCTACCTGACCATGCTGTCAGAAATGAAACTCCCAGTGTAGTTTCCACTAATCTGTGATATGTGAGACTATTTTCTGTTTTCTATGTTATAACAGAAATAAAACAGAAGGCAAGTGGAAAAAATATATTTCTTTCTTGCTTCAGCTTCCTCATCTGTAAATGAGCATGTTACCTGTGGAACATGGTTATTAAGCAATTAACCATTTAGTAATTATATATAAAGCTCATCACAATGCTGGGACATGGTAGCATTCAATAAACACTAGCTCTCTTCCTCCATTTTTGTTAGAATGAAAAAAGAAAACTCTAAAAAGCCTATGTTTTGGGAAAAGAAAAGTCTAAGCATTTTTTGCAAAGACATTTAAAAGGGACATCTCATTTTACCAATTACCCACAACACACATTTCCATATAAGGAATAAAACTCAAATTCAAATTATGCCACAAACATAACTTGCAGAAGATCACAGAATATATTACACATTTCCTAAATATCAAAACCATCAAAAGTTAAAAGATAGAGCTCATCTCCCATATAAAATATAGCATAAAACAAATGATTAGGGACATTGAAAAGACTGATTAATAGAAACAGATGGTAAACTATCAGTAATTATCCTCAGAGTATATAAAACAATTCCCTGTAAACAAAATTAACAAGTTTATGGAATCTTTTTACATAAAAATGATTCACTGAAAATATCATGAAAACCTAAGAAACAGTAGGTTTTGGTGGCCAAGGATTATCAAACAAAATGACTTGTCAATTTTTCACATATTATTTTGCAAAGATCAACATTTATACCTATTATGTGCCAGGCTCTAAATAAAATAGAGAGATAAATAATAAAACAGATCCAGTTCTCCAGGCTCACATTATACTGGAAAAAATGCAAAAACAAAAGCAAATCTATGTAATACACTGTGATCTGTGATGAGTGCTATAATAATGGTATCACAATGCAATGAGAAAACAAGGAAAGAAGAGATAAATTTTGATAGAAAAATCTATAAAACTGCTTATTAGTAAATCCAGTGCACCTAAGATCACTGTTACTTTTACATTTGAAGAACTTTTTCTAGTGCCTGTTATTTCTGACACCTATCTTTATTGATATTTTAGAGCAGTTTAAGAGAAATACTTAGATCACAGGAAGTAAATTTGTCCACATCTATTTCTGTTTTAAATGCCAAAGAGAGCTAAAATAACCACGATGAAATGTATAGACTATTTTCTCAGTACATGTAAGTGGGCATAGGGATTCAATCCAATTAAAAGGAAAAACAAGTTCTAGTTTGTCCCTAAAACTATTTTGTTTTCAATAAAGCATGACCAAAAATAGTATTCTACCTCTTTTAAATTTTATTTTAATAAAAATGTTTTCACCAGTTTCAAGTATTTCCATGTGCATAAATAAAACTGGATTTAAAAAATAAAATATTTCAAGCATCTAGTGAATATTGGCATAAGTTCATATAACAATTGAAAATGTGCAAATAAATATCACTGTTAATGAACAACTAAAGGAATGTGAAGTAGAGGGCTCTCTTAAGATATTTTTGATAAATCATAATGAATCTGCCTCAAAAACATGTTCACTTGATCATCATTTAAGTTGTCCCAAGCTTTAATGAATAGAAGTTACTGCATGAGTTATCTTTTAATGTAAAAATTCTGTTGGCTTATGCAGCAAAAATTTTTGCAGATTTGTCAAATACTATAATTTCAATGGTTGAGCAATGACTTACTAAGCATCAAGCTGCTGAAGACTAAAATACATTAAAAAATCTTTACAGCAACTTTATATTTCAGCATTACCAATAAATACATTAAATATATCTTAAACTAACAATCTTTTTTACTTGGCATTATATTAGTTAATGTTACACATAGCAAAGATCTCTAGTCACAATTAGAGGTTAGTTCCCTATTTCGAAAATTTCTGTTGACTAAAGTTAAGTAGAAATAATTGGGCTTTCTGGGAAGTAGACTATTTAATTAATCACAAGTATTAAGGTAGGAGAAAAAACAAAATCAAATCAAAGAAAAATTCTGCGTTTTCAGTTAATTGAAAGAACACCAAACATAAAAGATGTCCCATAATAGGCTAGATCAGCCACTTAGTTCTATGACTTTGAGCTAATCCCAAGTATTCTAATGTATTATCAAGATTATTGTGTATATCCTACCCAAATTCACAAAAAACAAATTGAGTGAGGCAATTTGGATAAAACTAAAAAGAAAGTGCACGAGGAAACATTCTCTCACATGCTGTTTAGGAAACGTAACTCTGAGGGGCAGTCTGGTAGATTTATAACAATTTTAAATGTATATACCCTTTGAGCCAGAAATTCTATGTATTCTTTATTAATACTTGCCCCAAATTACAAGGAACTATGCACAAGGATATATGTTGTGACATTATGTGTAATCATGAAAAACTAGTAGCAAACTTATATGGCCACCAGGTGAACACTGGTAAAATATACCATGGCCCTATTATGTAACCATCAAAAAAAAGATAGCTCTTTATATATTCATATATTATCTATTAGGAGATATATTATTTAAAAAGCCTAAATAACCCTTGGTCAAATCTTCCATGCAATAGCAACTCAGAGAATGTATAGAAGTATACCAAATTCAAGAACACTATGAATAGGGTCAAGGTTTTTATGTCAAGATTGTGGATCAAGTAATCAGCAAGATGCACCTGCACTAGAAAATCGGCACTACATTTGTACTCCTGAGGAAACTCACAACAACTAGCAAGGGGTAAAAACTAAAGGGCCCCCAGAATTACTGGCCTTCTTGGCAAAGTGTATCCCAAATATAAAGTGGCTGGGCTGAAACATTTGAAAGCCACTCTTGGTAAATGACTAGACTCACTATTTTTGTTTTCAATGAAGCCTTATTACCTGTCTTATACCCTTCCTTAAAGGTAAGTGCA